AGGCCAAAAGCATCTGGGATTTTGTGGCTGTTTAAAGGAAAAGGGTGCGGGGAACAGAGCGGGCTTTAAAGAGACCCCGTCACTTTACCCTGGATGGCCACGGTGACAAGGTCTCCTTAAACCAGGGGTAGCAAACCTCCGGCCCTACAGCTTAAGGCGATTTGTCTATTTTGTTGATCGGCGGAGGCAGAGCGGAGTGTTCCCGCGTTGCTATGGTGACCTGACGAGGAGCCTCCATGTTTTCTCTCCGGCACCCATCCGGAAAATAGGTGGATGGCTGCGGAATTATGGAGGAAACCGGCAGTTAGCTGATCATGTGATCGATGGAGGAAACCGGCAGTTAGCTGATCATGTGATCGATGGAGGAAACTGTTACAATGTTATTAACCGTTTGCTGACTGCGGTGTTACACCCCCTTCCTGTCCCGCCCCTTTTTCAGTATTCAGCGCTGCGGTACTTTGACTGACATTTATTCCGTCATGCAGCGCTGTACTGACATGAATTTTATACCATGTTTTGGGGACAGATCGAGCTTTCTTGTGGTGGTATTTAATTACAACTGCGGTTTTTATTTTTTACTATATAACAAAAAAAGTACCCTAAATTTTGTTTAAAAAAAAACCTGTTTCCCTATGAAATGTTAGGAAACATTTATTATCACCCCAATTTTATTGGTAAAATATAAAAGTCGGGGTCACGTCGGGTAAATAGACATCTAACATGTCAAGCTTTAAAATTGCGTATGCCCGCGAAATCGCAGAAAACGACCACACCCAAAATTGGCCATAGGCGACGCTTTAAAAGCTTTTATCGCTCATCAGTTTAGTGTTATCAGTGATTGATGGGCCTAAAATGATTGCTCTCACTGCGACGTTCACGGCGATATGTAACATGTGCGGCACAATAGGCGGAATCGTCGTTTTCGCACGTTGGCGCACCCGACGCATGTTTGCGTGTGTATGTGGGGGCTTTAAAAAAAAGATTGTGCTATTTTACTTATTGTTTTTTAGCTTTTTTTTTTTTTACACCTGACTTTATATTGCTATCACATAGGGGACTAAGAACTAAGAAATCCCCCTATGTGATTGCCAATTCACATGACAGGTCCTCTTTATGGAGACATCAGGGGTCTCCAAGACCCATAATGTCACTTAGGGACCCCCAGAGAAGCTGATGAAGCGGAGATCTGCTTCAGCAGCTTCTCACCGGTGTTCTATGCCGGAGAGTGACACTGAATGCAGGAAGTGATGTAATATACATCACTTCCTGCATTCGGGGACCGGGAAGAGATCAAAGGGAGGCCACGGACGGGAGGTGGTTAACAATGCACAAATGCAAAAAAAATCTAATGTAGCAAAATTGACAGCTGGTTCTGCTCCCGTTTTGATAAATTCCCTTCAGAGTCTTTCTGCAGTCCTAGCACTCGGTGAACAGGAAGTTCTCAGTACAGAGGCTTCCTGTTCATTCACAATCTGGAGATATAAGTAAATATTTACTATCAACCCCAGTTGTGAATGGACAGAAAGACCCTATACTGAGCTGCTTCCTGTTCATTCATAAAACGAGCAGATAGTAAATGTTTATGAATGAACAGGAAGTGCTATCCAGTAAATATGTACTATGTCCCCATTCATAAATGCACAGGAAATTATGTATAGCATTTCCTGTTCATTCATAACTGGGGACATTGTAAATAACTTGGGACACAGTGATTACTATACTCAGCCTCCTAACATCTTCTCTCCTCCCCACTGGGTGCCGGCAGCTAGATCGGCTCTGTGTCCGCTGTGATCCCCGCTGCCTCTGCCAACACAAATATGGGAATTGGAGGGGACAGAAGCTCGCAGGTGGCGCCCAGCAGGAAGGAGGGAAGCCGGGGATGCGCCTCATTTTCGGCCATTTTGTTTTGGTACTATCGGCATTTTGCTCATTGTACTGTTTTCGGCCAAAATGTTTTGGCAGCTGAGATTTCGGTGCACCCCAAGTCCCAACCATTCCCTGCTCTGTCCAAAACTGAAAAGAAAATGTTTTGGTTTTAAATATTTTATTCCTTTCCCTCCATATTCCCTGTACATGTGCCATGTTCTCTTACTGTCCGTTCACGCTGCTGACTTACCTTTTTGTGTTTTTAGGGCTTCTACAAGGGTGGCAAATTCGTCTTCAGTTTTAAGGTGAGTCCTTCCAGAATGACCCAAATGCTGCTCGTGTGCTTGTGTCCCCAAATGCATATGCTAATTAATTTTTTTAAATAAAATATTTTCATTACATTCTTTTAGTCCTGATGATGTCATCACTGGGTCTCTATGACCCCTCCCCCCAATCAGTTGCTGCCAACCCACTGGCACCGCTAAGCCCTAAGGCAGGTACTGGCTACGCTTCCCCATGGGTCCTCTATAATCCGCCAGAGGGGCGAGGGTTTGCTGGAGGGTACTTGTTGTCCAGCGAATCGTTCTGTTCCTAATTTCCGGTAGTTTAGGGAACAGAATTCTGTGTTGGATTTCATACGGTCACACTTTTGTCTCGTCTCTGCAGGTGGGACAGGGCTACCCCCACGATCCACCGAAAGTGAAGTGCGAGACCATGGTATATCATCCAAATATAGATCTAGAGGGTAACGTCTGCCTAAATATTCTAAGGTGAGTGAACGATCCTCGGCAACATTCGGGTTCTTTCTGAAAGCCGGCTCCATTAAAGCTCCTCGAAAAACATCACATGGCAGGTCACCTGTCCTGGGATGCAAAGGCCAAAATTCCCTTTTATTTCACCTGGTGAACCTGCCAGTAACACTTCCTGTCTTAGGGGGACCATGCTCACCGGCCGTACTCTATAGGAACTCCATAACATAGGGTTGGTGTTCTGTAGTCCAGAGAACGCTGGGACATTGCCAACTGATCAGTTATCAGAGACGGAGAGCACCGGATTTCTGGCAGGATGTTTTTGCACTTATATTAGATATACCCTTGTAAGTGTTTTGTTATATCTATAAACAGAAAATAAGAATTCATTGTCAGGATTTATATACAATTTAAATTGATCTCTAATGCCCCTTCCCACTAAACCTCAGTCTCACATTTACTACCATGACACCACAGGAAGAGAGCAGTGCACTCTTAGCACATATATCCAGGCCGCGTCCCCCTGGTGGGGCATGGATCTGGGCCGCGTCCCCCTGGTGGGGCATGGATCCGGGCCGTGTCCCTTGCTGCAGGGAATTGTGGGTAGATGATGTGCCCTCCCAGCTCCTGGGATCTGTGCGGACGGTTGTGTGCTTTGTGTATAATTCTGCTCTCGTTGTATCTGCACAGGGAGGACTGGAAGCCCGTACTCACAATAAATTCAATAATATATGGCCTGCAGTATCTCTTCTTGGTGAGTATTGAGTTTGTTGAATCCCGTGCAGTAAATTGTCACTTTTATTAACTTAGAGATGTCAGAACAATGAAATCTGTTTTCTGATTGGTTGCCAGAGTTCACTGCACTTCCAATATTGTTTTATACCTTAACCAGTTGCCGTCCGCCCGTAGTAGAAAAACGGACGGACGGCACTGTCGCATTCGCGGGTTGCCGTCGCCAGACGGCATTTTTTTTCTGCTCGCGCGCGCCCCCTAGCGGGCACGCACGGGCAGAAAAGACCCGTCCAATGCGAACACCCGGTACCGGGTGTTTCACATATAGGCGATCAGCGGGTCCATAGCCCGCCGATCGCCTATATGTGCTCGTTCGCGGCACCCGCCCCCCCCCCGCGCCCGCTCGGCGCTTCCGGTTTTTTTTTTTGTTTTTTTTTTCCCCCTGACCCCTCACCTTGATTCCCGGGATCCGCTGCCCCATCTTGGATCCCGGGACCGGCTCCGAGGGCGTCAGGAGGAGGAGGACGGGAGATCAGCTCCTTGCTGATCCCCGTCCGGGCTGTGAATGCAGAAGTGATGTGTGTTACATCACTTCCGCATTCACCTGTCAGTCATCTGGAGAGAGAAGAAGCTGATAAAGCAGATCTCTGCTTTATCAGCTTCTTTTGGGGTCCATAGGTGATATTAGGGGTCCTAGAGACCCCTAATATCTCCATAAAGAGGACCTGTCAGTGTGCCTTTGCTATTATATAGGGGGTTGTTATCCCCCTATATAATAGCAATAACAATAAGTGCAAAAAAAAAAATATAAATAAAAAAAAAGAAAAGTAACACATAAAAAAATAAAATAAAATAAAAGCCACATATAAAAAAAGGGGAAAAAACCCCCCCAAAATGTTTAACTCCCCCACCCCCACGTTTACGCGCCTATAAACGTAAATACGCGTCCAGTGCCCTAGCGCGCAAAAATTACAATTGCGCTACACATGTTACATATCGCCGCGAACGTCGCAGTGAGAGCAATCATTTTAGGGCCATCAATCACTGATAACACTAAACTGATGAGCGGTAACAGCTTTTAAAGCGTCGCCTATGGCCAATTTTGGGTATTATCGTTTTTTGAGGTTTTGCGCGCGCACGCAATTTTAAGGCTTGACATTTTTGGTGTCTTTTTACCCGACGTGACCCCGTCTTTTATATTTTACCAAAAAATTGGGTAATAATAAATGTTTTATCATTTAATATAGGGGAAACTGTTTTTTTTTTATTTCGGTGATTTTTCCTTAATATAGTAAAAAAATAAAACCCCCAGTGGTGAATAAATACCACCAAATGAAAGCTCTATCTGTCCTCAAAAAAGGGTATAAAATTCATTTCAGTACAGCGCTGCATGACGGAATAAACGTCAGTCAAAGTACCGCAGCGCTGAATACTGAAAAATGGCCTGGATGGGAAGGGGGTTTAACACCGCGGATGTCAACTGGTTAAAGGAGAACTATGGGGCAAGTGTTTTTCCCCATAGTTCACTTTAGGGTCACAGGAGAAAATATACTAGCGTCCTCCCGTGACCCAAAGCTCAGTATATAGCGGGCTATTGCCAGCGATATACTGTGAGCGCCCTGGGCAGGATGGATCCCGACATTACTGTTGAGATTCACCCAGCTGCATGACTGACAGCTGGCTCTGCCTATCTAGAGGGAGAGCCCGCTGTGCCCGCCCCCTCCCCTGTTCGTTCTTCCAGTCATCGCTGGAGGATCGGAGAGGGGGAATCCCTGTGGGGAGCTGTGACTTACTGGAAAAGTCAGGTGCAGGAAGCCAAAGGCTGAAATTCGTTTCAGCCTTTGAGTTTCAGAGTTTTGAATGGATTAACCCTTCAGAACCCATAGCCTGATGAAGCGGTTTGTTTTACACCAGCGCAGTGCGATCCCAACATGCCTCTGGGAGCCACGCCTGTAACCGTCAGTCTTGCAATGCCTCATGGGATTTGTAGTTCCGCAAACAGCTGAAGGAGTTGCCCACCCCCCACTCTAGTGTCTATTTCCTGGTTGCTATAACGCCTACTTTTTGTCTTATTAGGAGCCAAACCCCGAAGACCCATTAAACAAAGAAGCCGCTGAAGTCCTTCAGAACAACAGACGCCTGTTCGAACAGAACGTCCAGCGGTCTATGCGGGGGGGCTACATAGGATCCACCTACTTCGAGCGCTGCCTGAAATAAACCTCCGCAGCTTCTGAGTGCGAAACCCGCCATCCATCTGACCTACTTCTCCCCTCCCCCTATTCCCCGTCGCTCATCCATACAGCGCCCCACCCCTTTCTTACAGCCACGCCCACCAAGTCCGGGCCGAGCTCCCGATGTGGATAGACCTATGCAAGGTCCCACGTCCTGCTGCTATCCCTTTGTATTGGGAGGGAGCACCGCGTGCACATATTACAGTACTCGACAGCGCCACCACCTGGCTCTCAATACCTCACGTCCTCCCTCCCCTTTCCCCGCCCCCGCGGAGCTTCTATTTATTGATGGGTTCATAATTTATCCAATTCCCGCCCACCCTGCCCTCTCTAAGATTTTCTTCCTTTGCCATCGAGGAAATTTCTGAACGTCGGTGACTGAATTCGTTTATAAG